AAAGATCAAGAACACTGTAACATGAGGCTTTCATTTGCTTTTAATCGCTGTTATTAGCTAGCTGTGCAATTAATTCTGTTAATCAAATACTATAATCTGGTAACACCTCAAAGTGATCTTTTGCCAGCCACTTGTATACACCTGAGACAGAGCCAAGGAACAGGAAGTCTGCAGAAAGCAGATAGCACAGAGGCCGTTCCCCAAAGCCCAGGGACTGGGTTTGCAGGCGAGCTCTGGAATCCCTCTTTGGGGCCTCTGTGTTTTCACTTGATGCTCGATTCCCATATGCCTCCCGACCCAGAACAGAAAGGGAAAATGAGGCTGCTGAGACAAGCACACCACAGCAACAGGTGGTGGCCACAAAATAGCTGAACAAGAGAGGGAGCCAGGGAACGCCATCAAGCACCACGCAGAACCCGCCGTCCATGCCCAGAGCTTCCCGTGTAATCCTCAAACAGCCTGTAAAGTAAGACAAGAATCCGCTCGAGGCCGTGGATACACGGGGCAGGGCTGGGATGTGAGCGCAGGTCCATCTGCCTCCCGGGCTGCACCGTTTCTGTGAGGATGGGGGACAGGTGTGTGTCTGGGACACGAGCTAGGCTCCTTGGGGAGCATGCTGGGGCTCCCATGTGCAGATGTGTGCTCTGTGATTTGGGGGGTTTATCATGATGATCTTGAGGAGTCTTGTTGTGGTTGTGGTTGTTGGTAACTGCCGTCAGTCGGCCTCAGTCTTGGTGCCCTCACACACAACAGAGCAAAACTCTGCCTGGCCCCCAGGCCTGGCTGTGCCCATGATCACTTGCAGCTGGGACCACTGTGCCCTTAGGGTTTTGATTGGCTGGTTTTGGGAAGTAGATAGCTAGCCCTTGCTTCCTAGTCCATCTTAGTCTGGAAGCTCCGCTAAAGCCTATTGAGCACTGTGTATGTGTGTGTGTGTGTGCACGCGCGCGTGCATGCACACACGTTATGTGCTGTCGAGTCGGACCCGACTCATAGCAACCCTTCCTTGGGTTTCCTAGGCAATATCACCACGGAAATGGATTGCCCAACCTTCCTTCCGAGGAGTGACTGGTGGGTTCAAACCTCCAGCCTTCTGGTTAGCAGTCAGGTGCCTTAGTCACTAAGCCACCAGAGCTCCCGTTGAGTGTCATAGCAACACACAAACCTCCACTGACAAATGGGGGTGTTTGAGTTCTCTCGTGCCCTCTAACAGACCACAAATGTGTGGTTTGAATAAACAGGGTTTTATTCTCTGACAGTTTAGGAGCCTGGAAGTCTGAGTTCAAACTGCCAGCTCTAGGGGCTGGGTGAAAGCCTCTTGACCTTGGGCTTCAGCTCTGCCTCTTGCTCCCGGCCCACTGGAGCTGGAGACATCTCTTCACTTAGGCAACTGCTGGCTGCTGAGGCTGACAAACCCAAAGTTGACAAGTAAAATGGCACAGCCCACAAATAATCAAACCATATAGCAGGCTGCTAATTCAAGTCCATCACTAGTCCCAAGATCAGCAGACAACATGGCAGGCTGCTGAACGATGACTTGGCTACATGACGGGATTCAGGTGTGCCAAAAACTCAAGACCATTCCCAAAGCTGCTGCTTATATACTGGAAGCAGACCACATTCCCTAAGGCAGCTACTCAGCCACTCCAGTAGATTCCACCGTGGAGTTGATTACCAATCTCGTCATGGGGAATAATACTACATCCAGCTGCCCAGCCACTGAAAACCAGGCCCAGCCAAGTTGACACACGACCTTAACTACCACTATGGCGGCTGCCCATGTGGTGCATTGACCAGGAATCAAAGGTGGGTCTCCTGTGAGGGAGGAGAGAAACCTACCACTGAACCACCACTGCCCACCCCCCAGTGTAGGATCTGGCAAATGTTCAGTTTGACAATGACCTTCATTGCCAAATGAGGCTAGATGAGGCCTTCATCGTCAGATGGTTAAGTTGTGACAGTTTTGCTGGTGGACATTACAGTGGGAAGACCCCTTGGCCTAGTTCCCTGCTATACTACTTAGACTTGAGGACTCACTTCTCCTCCCCATTCACTTTCTGTGTGGGCTGCAGTTGGGTCTCTATGAGCCTTTGAGGCCCACAGAGATGGCAGGAGAGAAGGAGGAGGGGCCCAGTATGGTATCTCATTGGTGACGGCTGGAACCCATAACCTTTTCCCTGGCGCTGTGTCCTCAGGAAGTAAACCATGGTGGTGGAGAGCCACTGTCATCTTCTCAGACTTCACGTTCTTTCCTCACAATTCTATCTGTCCTACACTTCCTCCAGGTATCTGTTGAGTGCCCACTACTTGCCTGGCCAGTGCTAGTCACTGGGGTGCCAGCGATGACTGGGCCCTGTCTGGTGGAGCTAACATGCTAACAGGAAGCATGGATACTGAAGGCATGACTGCACGATTCCTAGTGATGGTGGCATAACAGTCAAATGCTCAACTGCTAATCAAAAGGTCAGCAGTTCGAATCCACCAGCAGCTCCACAGGAGAAAGACTTCACAGTCTACTTCCTTAAAGATTACATCCAAACTGAACTCAAAATCATTTAAAAAAAAAAAAAAAAA